TACTGCAGAGGACTGCAAAGCAAGTATTAGTATCTCCAGCAGCTTAAAAATTTGATTAATATGTAACTTGCTCATAAGTGTTTTATTACTTTAGTAAAAAAAAAATTTAAGGTAGTCATGTGTCCTTCAAACGAAATATAAGAATGAAGAACTGGTCTAGTTCTCTAACCACTGTTTTAAGCTGCAATTGTTTTTTTCTTTCTGTATTCTAGCATTTGTGTTCTGATAGTGGGTATCTGTACGCTCTCTGAGAAGAAAATATGTTCCTATTTTCTCTAAAGCTTTAAAAACCTTTAAAAATTAAGTGAGAAAGATACAGTTCAATCAAAATTTACCTGATGCTTCAAAACCTGCATCGTTTAATGCTTCGAGCACAATCCTAATAAACTCCTTCCACAAAAGAGGACCCAAATCCCAAGAAACTGGGACACCCGCTCCTCACAGACCTCCTTTTCCCATCACCCGCTACCTGCACTGCCTTATCCCGGCATAGGGAAAAACAACCTTAAAGGCAGACTGCCAAACAGACTGAGCACATTTTACGGGGGGGAGGATTAGCACTGAGGCATTCTGGTGACATGGTGCACCAGGGAAGCAGAACCAGGGCGGGGAGGGGGTGTTGCTAAAATCCCTGGTGTGCAATTCATTCCAGAGGAGAATTCATTGACATTTGGATCTCAAAACTCGTAACTACTACGTTGTAAGTGAATGGCTCTTCTACAAAGCAGCTGCTATAAAATAAAATTTAAGCAGGAAAATTCATGTAGCTCAAACCCTCATGTGAAAAAAATATCTTTCCAGAATTCTCTCCTAAACCAGATTATCATAATGTAAATTAGTTACATTTTGTTGTTCTCAGACTATGTTAAATAAGTAGCTCTGGATGTTAAATAAGTAGCTCAGTGCTGTGTTTGAACGAGAGTAGATGGGAAGCACTATCATACTGCTACAGTGTCAAATACCTTCTATAAAGGGCTTCTTTGTATCCCAGCTTTTAAGATCCCTGGCCTCAATTCAGCAAATGTCCAATAAACTGCAGTTTGATTTAGGTCTCGCTGGGAATTAGAAGTGAGACGTTACCATTGTTTGGATGCCACAGAGCCTTGAAGCAAATAACGGCATCTGTACAGTCGCTGGGTGCAGCCAAATGAATCTTGAGAATCATCAGTATGTGTCTGCTATCCAACCCAACGTTTCTGCAAGCAATCTCTAAGAGCATCTTCAGTAAGATACCAGAGCACCTCTCTTTGCCGGAAGGCTACTTGACAAAATAGTTGTCATGATACTGCAGGCATTTCAAAGCACACATTAAATTAAGCCGAGTTCAGGACTGACAACTGCATACTCAGAAACTAGCATGCCAGGCTAAGATCGTATTTTTGGAGCACAGCTAGCAGTGCCTTGCACACATGGAAAAACTGATACTCTTCAAATGTCAGGATCAACTCAAAAACATACAGCTTAAATGGAAGGGAAAAAAAATAACGGCCCGGTCTTTGTGAGTTGCAGTTATACTGTTCATACTGTTATCAACAGTGCCTTAATCCTGCAAACCAAACAGGAAACAAAGAAGCGCATAGCCCCCGCTTTACTACTTGCTATGCAAGTTCACCTAGAATTTCATGCAGAGCAGCAGCTTTGTGAGATCTGTTTGTTTCATGAAAAGATGCCAATGTCCTAGAGTGCAGCACTGTACTACTGCCTCAAGATGGGCTTTCATTCTCAAAATTCTCATGTTCTGTTTCAGTTTAGTAACAAAGCATCCAGTTCAGCATGCAATATTAGTTCTTCGCAAAGCCACGGGCCTTTTCCCCCTTAAATAATCACATGAAGACCTAGGCTGCCTTAACATCAGGTTTTATAACTCAATCAGTAGGGATATTTAAATTGCCCTTTGAACTCCAATCTTCACAAATAGAAAGGAAGAGCAATTATTTCCATTTCTCTGCTACAGCCTAGCCCATAACTTTTTATGAATCAAGTATGAGAAAGTATGAAACAGTCAGGAACACTATTATTAATTCCTGGAATACTAGGAAGCTATAATGCATCTACTTTTCCATCTAGAAATTTGCCAAATGGCATAATTCCGTGTTTTGGGAATAATACAATCACTGCAGCATGTGCTGCAAGGTTGCAATTTGCTATGTAGTTATAAAAACTACTACTGGGTACTGCTTGCATTTGCTGGACATAAGTCTGTCTCACTACAGACAATAAGAATCACAATTTGGGAACAAAGGATAATATTCCCTCAGCTCAAAAAGAGAAAAACACCCCTCCACAGATGTGCACGCATGCGGATTTCTTTTTCCCACAGCTCACCTTTTAATAGTAGGAGCAAACTGGGAGGAGACAGAGAAAAGCCGGCAGGCTACAAAGAGTGGGATAGCTATTCTGTCTGCACTTCTAAAAACCGTAGGTGTGCAGGTTTTATTCTTGCTCAGTTGGACAGTGGGGGAGGATGCTGTTTGCAAACAACCTCCACCGTGAGGGATCTCAGGCTGATTAATTAGATGTGCTTCTTCTCTTTTTCAAATCACTTGTAAGAAAAAGCTGATGGTAATCTACCCCCAGCCCCCCACTCCGTCCTCTTCCGTACCCCCAACGCACAGAATTGGGGGCAGTAAAAATCGAGGAAGTCAGCAGGTCCCAACACCTTAAAATTAGCTGGGGATTCCCTACTCCATCTTGAAAAGTGAGTGTGTGGAAGATGAGGCTTTCTCCTGGTCTGAACTCACGTTAAAACCTACTTCAAGAACGGCTCTTTCCAGAACAATATCCCCCTGCCAATAGAAGGCAGACCTGGCTCCGGGCCACCGCTATAACGTGGCCATTGTCTGGAGAGAGGGAAAAGTTAGAGGATTTGCCTATAATCCTGTCTCCCTGCCTTTTGTTTCTCCGCTATTCAATAAATGAGGTACACGGCCATGCTCGCCCTCCTGCAAGACACGGGAAACCCAGGCGCGACAGGGGAGAACCGGGAGAGGGGGAGAACAAGGAGAGGCATTACCTTGCAAACCAGCTCCTCGCCGCTGTGCAGATGTATGGCTCGGAAAACGTGGTCTCCCTCGAGAGGCTCCAACAATAAGTATTTCCCGATGCAAGAAACGCAATGCGACAAGTTCGGGGTCTCCGGCGGGCTCGGCGAGCCTAGATTCGGGCTAAAACTCTGGCTTGGCTCGATGGACCGTATGGACGAGAGCTCTTCAAAATCCTGGGTTTTATTCCGCGGTCTCCCATATCGTGCTATCGTGATAGGGGTTGACCTTTGTATGTTCATGAGTATGGAGAAGACCAGCCGAGACGCTGCACCGGAGCCCTGGCGTGGAGCGCGGTCCCTCGCCCGTCCAGCTGCGGCTGCCTTTGTGTGGCGGGGGGGGCGGGAGCGCGGCGGCGGCGGGCGACCAGCCTCAGCGCCGCGTCCTGGGCACAGGGAGAGAGCGCTCAGCCCGCGGCCCTTTGTTCCCGCCGCCGGCCGGGCGCGCAGCGGCGCGGAGCAGCGCGGCGGCGGGGCAGCGGCGGCCGGAGCCGGGGAGCCGAGGAGCGGCGGCGGCGCGGCCGGGGCTGGGCTGGGCTGGGCGGCCGCCGCTCCCGCGGGGCGCGCAGCGCGGGCGGCAACAAAAGGTCGGTAACGCGGTGTGCGCAGCGGGACCGTCCTTCCGCTCCCCTACGGCCCGGCAGCGCCGCGCTGCCGCGGCTCGGCTGTAGATGGCGCGGGAGCCTCGCCGCTAGCGCCCGGGGCGCTCCGAGAATGCCCCGCGAAACAGCGAGGGAGCATTTAACTTGGGCCGACAAAGGAGCGGGACCGCGGCGGGCGATCCGGGGAGCCGCACCGGCACCAGGGGAGCGCGGCGGAGCCCGCACCGCTCCGCGCTGACGGAGAGGAACGGGCTGTCGTCGCCGCGACAGAACAAAAAGTGCAACCAGAGAATAGAGAGCGCTCCCACGCTCCCCCCTGCACAGCGGGTTTGTGAGTGGGGACTCGCTGCCTTCGCCGCGTTTAATGGAGTTCACGCACAAAGAAAACAAAAACCGGCGCGGCGAGAAAGGGCCGAGTTCTTACCGCAGGGGCTGGGAGGGCGATAAGCGAAAGGCCATAAAGGGCAATTAACTAGACTCGCTTTTAAAAATAAATGCGGAGAGCAAATTCTGTTTGACGATTTTTTTTTTTTCTCTTGGGGACAGAACACGGGGAGGAGAGGAAAGCCGCGCCGCTCCCCTCCACCGAGGCACCGTCTCCCCCCGGTGTATCAGTAACTACTTACGTGGCGGGGACGCTGGCTGCCTCCGTGCTCGCTGCCGGCCGCCGCACGCCCGCACGGTGCCCAGCGCGCAGCCCGACTGCCCCACCGCCGCCGCCCGCCCCGGCCCGGCCCGGCCCGGCCCGGCCCCGCCCCGGCCGCCCCGCCCCGGCCCGCCCCGCAGCCTCCCCCCGCGCCGGCCGCGCTCGGGGTAAACAAGGTGAGCCGTCCTTCCGCAGCGCTGCCGAGGCGCTGGGGGCTCGGGGGCGGCCCGCCGGCTCGGGAACCCGGGGTGTGCCGGTGTGTCCCGGTGTGTCCACCAGCGTGAGCAGCGCTCTGCAGCGGTGGGATGCTGCTGACCGCGGCTCCCCCGCTGACAGAGCTCCGCCAGGTCCAGCCTCTCCGGGGATTGCCCTTGCGGCTACGGGCGAGATGTTGGTATTAATTTTAATATCAAATAAAATAATAACAATAGTAATGGTAGTGGCTTAAGCTGCCCTAAAAGCAGAGTCCGCTCCGCTGCCGGGCGCGGGGGATGATGCGGTATCTCATGTGCCGGCCGGATTTTTTTCTCAATGAAGCAATCGGTTTTTTCCGGGCAGCGCGGGGCCCCGCAGACTTCGGGGAGCCCAGGCGGCTGTACCCTGATGCTGCCGGGTGGGAGGAGTTCTACCGACTCCAGACTTGTCTTAATCCGTCCCAAAATTAAAACGGAGGGGAGGAGGGAGTGCGGGGGAAGGGAAGACCGGGCGAAAACGTAAACCTTTTCACAGAGAAAGCCATGAATGAGGTCGGTCTGTCTCCGCCCAGCACCACTGCAGGCTGTCGGTTTGGTGAGGTTTTTTTGTTTTGTTTTGTTTTGGGTCTTTTTGGTTTTCTTTTTTGTTTGTTTGTTTGGATTTGTTGATGTTGTTTTGGTTTGGGTGGGTTTTTTTTGGTCCTTTTTTTTTTAATCCGTCCCCTTTTGTTTAAGTAACAGGACTTTAGCTATATATTGAAATCTGATGAGCAGTTCCCTGCACTCCTAATGAGCCTGACGTGTAATCCCTAGTTTTTGTCTGGATGTTGGTGATGATTTTCTTTGAAACAACGACTGAAAAAAGCCCAAAGCAACCCAAATACTCAAACCTCTTCCCCCATTCCCCTCCTGCCCCCCAAGAAAGGGGGGAAAATATACAAGCTAACATTAAGAAGAGAATAGGTCTATGAGGAGAGCACAGCTCTGTCCCAGAGCTGCAGCCTTTGCAGGGCAATGCCAAGGGACTGTCTGTGTCTTGAGTGTCCTTTCCCCACATCAGCAGAGGGGAGGATCAGAAATGAGAGAAGGGTTGTTTTGGGGTGAACACCTGCTAGTTTGGGTGATACCAGTTTTCAAGGGGTAGAAGGAAGTGAGTGTGACAACAATGAAATAACCAACGGAGGAGTCAGTGACAGAGGTGCCTGCTTTGAGGCAAAGAGAAACAACCTCTGAACAGGGCTCCAAAGAGGTTAGGGATGCTGCAGTCAGGGTGCAGTCTTGACAGTGGAGGCTTTGGAAATGGCTCTCCACAGCATTGCACCTGCCTCGTGTCTTATCTCTAGGAGCTATAAATGCCCTGTTTTACAGTTAAATGATAAATACCATGAGGAATAGGGTTGTCATGATTTTAAATTTGGCATGGAAACGACGAGCTTTTGGCAACAGAGATTTAACCTGGTGAATGTTACTTGGGTAGTGAGGAAGAGCACAGATGCAGTGATCTGCAACAACATGTAAGACGACCTGCAGACTTAGTATTTGCTATTTGCTGTAAAATGAAAAGGTGCTTTTCTTGCCTTTCCTCACTTATTCCCATCACCTCTGAATAGTTTGTAACTTTTCAATACCATTTTTAGAAATGAGATGAGCAGTGCCGGATACTGAATCATTGCAAATAAGGACAAGCCATAAAGTTATGCAATACGTTCTCCAGTATCACATCCTGTGATCCAAATCAAACATTCTTTTCTTAGTAGATGGCTTTTTACACAATTTCTCCCTTCCTCTCCCCCTGCATACTCCTTCTGACTATGACAAAGACCTAGGCTCTTGCATCAACCTTTGTTCTGTAAATAAATGTTTTCTGTTTAACTTTCTTAGTTACCCAGCATCAGCTGGAGCCACAGTCCCTAGCAACTCTGGAAAGTCTATCCAGAGCCTCCAAGGCCAAGAGAAAGGAGTGAAAGGAGAAAGGGCTGAAAAATCTAAATAATCCTAAGCCTCTGGTTGGAAACCCCTGATTTTTATCAGAATTGGGATCTAAATCTGAAGAAGGGATTCCATATTCAAATTTGGAATGAAGAGATTATAAATTTTGGGTTCTGAATTAAATCTACACTGTAAGGCATAGAAGGATACATACTGTCTAATGACACAGTTGCCTATCCATCTGATGAATTTTACTCTTTCAGAATATTTTAATCATTTCACTCCCTTTGCTATGGAATCCCTCCCCAGACCTAATACTTTGTAAACTTTGCTTCTGCTCTCAGCTATGTCAATGAAGATACTGCCATTTCAGTCCAATGTTAAAGTAATAAGCTCTGAATGAGCAAACCCCTTTGTCTGCCTCATAGAGACATTAGGTGTACATAATTCTGTACCCATTGTTTTAGTCTGTGTCAGTCAACTGAAGTTTTAGAGGAAGATCAACATATAACATGTGAAATGGGAAAATGAATGAGATCATAAAAATCAGATCAAAGTCTGAAAACCAAGTCAGCATTGAAGCTTTGCCTAACTGCATCCAGTCTCCCACAGCTGTTTTGTTTAACCAAAGTAGAGAGATGTGACTTGAAACACATCAGCCAGAATGTCAGGGCTAAAGGGATGCCATTTGCATGTCCAAGCTTAAATGTCATGTTCACAACACTTGCAAACTCCAGTTTAAATTAAACTGTGTTGGTAGTGGCAAATATTGTTTCATTGTATTTCCTCATTCAATTGAATGAGATAAATTTTCTGAGTATGTATGACAAAACAGTTAGTGAATCAATGGTACCTACCAAAGAAGTAGCCAGCAGATTGATATATGAGAAACTATCATATCTCCCCATGATCTTTCTGAAGACACATCAAAATTAAGTTAGTTAGGAAGGATTCCTTTTATGACTGCTTACTGACCGACTTTTACTCTTTGGACTTCATTGAGCTGATCTACCTTGCCTGGAAACTGTCACCAAAAGAGACAATCCAATTAGAAGTTTCTTTATCTTTTAAACAGATCCTACAATTATCTACTTCTTTGATGATGTTGTCCAGTAGTACAGTGCTGAGTTCCTTCTCTGGAATTGCTCTTTCTGCAGGAAGTGCAGCTGCAGGAGTGGAAGGGGGGAAAGGGGGAGGCGAGGGTGTAGGGGGGGGCGGGGGGGTGGTGTCTGTGATGTTCTCCCTGGAGCATTTTTCCTACTCTTAAGTATCCCAGAAGAGTCTATGGAGAAGACCTTACATTTTCATGCTATGGAAATCATCCACCAAACTCTCTCCTATTTTGTATCCAAGGTTTATCTGCAAGTAAACAGCAGAAACAGGTGAAAAAATTGGAGTTTCCTGTTTCAATTACTGAGTAAAAGTTATTAAATGAAAAGTGTGTCATAAATCTGACTGTGTGCAAAAAAATAGTATCTTTTTTCTGTAACTCTGATTTTCAGTCTGTTTTATCTTTTAACATCTGCTTTTGCAAATATGGACTCTGTGTGGACAGGAGCCAACCCTCCCTCCAAGCCAATAGCAGTCTTTCTTCCATTGATGTCAAGGAGCTTAGATCAGAGTATAAGTCTTGTGAGTGATCAAAGACAGTCCTACATTTAAAAGACTTCCTTTTCCAGGTCAGTCTGCTCCTTGTCCCTTTACAGAAAATATATTATCAGTGTACAAACACAAGCTAGAACAAAAAGGATAATAATTTTTGAAGTGGTAAAAGAAAGACCCTAATTTTATTTTTTTGCTGATTTACAAAGTGCAGAGCTGAGCCTACTGGGAACATTAAACAACTATTAAGTGCCGAGAACTGTCATAGTGAGAAGACAGTCTTATTTCAGCAAAATTAATCCAAGTAGCTAGCTCAAAATACACTTGAAAGTACCTCCCCATCAGTTGTCAAGGCTAGATCCCCATGCCAATTTGAATACATTTTTTCTATTTTTTGTAATTGTTTTTATTGTTTATGCTATAACTCTAGCATGTTAGTAAGGGAGGCTAAGGAAAGTGATAAATCATGGGACAGCAAAGGGACAAGACTTTTCACCATACATCAAAAAGGCAATTCAAAGACATGGAGACAAGCATCTCTTCTTTAAAAAATCTTATGATTTTGACTTTTGGTATGTGCATCCTTTTTTTTTTTTTTTTTTTAATGAGATGCTGTCAAGAGGTAACTTGACAAGAAATGTACCCATTTGCATGAACTGCATGTGTGGGGCTTACGTGTGTGTGAAATAAGGACACAATAAAGTATGTGAGGATGAATACCTGTGTGCCATATCTGCAGTTAGAATCAAGCCTTAGGCTTCATTCTTCACTCAGACAATAAAAAGAAAAGGTGTTGTTGAATAACTCACTGCAAGAATTACAACTAACTACAGTGGAATAAAAAAATTTTTAAAACTCTCTAAAATATAATTTATGTACAGAAGCCAGTTAAATGAGGTAGAAAGAAGTGAGTCCAACATTTCTGCAAGCTGCCTTCTTGTTATATTGTACATTAATTGCAAAGAAAAAAAAGCAATTAAGGAAAGTTCTTTGAGGTTTGCCCTTATATGTTTGTTAATATAGGACCCAAAAAGTGTCTTTGTTGTCCTCAGAAAAATAAATCTGTGTATGAAAGAATAGTCTGCCCAAGAAGCAAAAAGTCCTCAGCTCAAGAGTCAGTGATCTTTCTCTCTGGTTCTGGATTCACTTAAGTATTAGGTATTTCCAAGCAATAGTATTACATCCCCAGGTTCTAGCTATGGCTACAACCCCAGTATATTCCCAGCCTAATCATTCCCGATAGTTTACAAGTCTCCATCTGTATGTTGAATGCATTGCTGATGGGTTTTAGCATTAGAAAAAGCAAATTGACCTTCTAAATCACAACACTGCCCTCCAAATCTGACTGTCAAGGCTGTGGACTGTTGGCTCCCCCAGCTAGACCTTACATTGCTCTGTTACCACTAACTCTCATTATTCACAGATGACACCATTCCCAGAAATTAAAAAGTGGCTGTGTTATGTATACCCATATCAATCCTATCCCTTGCTAATTTAAATCAATCTTACATAGTTGAATTCTCTTCTGAACATCCCTCTCTTTTAGCTTTATGAGATAACCTGAGGAAAAACACCCCCTCATTGCTCAGATATAAGTACCATTTATTTTATATTTTCCACATTTTAAGTTATGCTGGTATTGTTAAGAGAAGAGAAAGGGAGGTGGGGCATATTTCTTTTTATTTCTTTTGTAATGGGCTACGTGAGTAGAGCAAAGCCATGCGTGTAAGATCAGGAATAAAAGTGCTGTGTTTGCAGATCCCAGGGAAGCCCTTATAGAGGAAAGAAGATATGAAATGCTGTGATTATTATTCCTAACCTTTTAAGATTGAACACAATCCAACCAGTTGCCATTAAGGTCTCTTTTCTTTTAGGGATATATGACACTCATTTTTCACTTGAGGTTTCCTTGGGGAGTTGTTTTACAGACAAGTGCATGACCTGAACCAAATCCCTCTTAAGCAGGTTTTGCTTCCTCAGTTGCACCCATCAGCATGATGCTGGTGGAGGCGAATGTGAGATGGAAACATGACAACTGGATGTGCTTCTGGGAGCTGTTCTCCA